AAAAATTAACTGATTTTTACATTTCAATATAATGCGAGAAAATGTCAGAATTCTGACGTTAATCTCAGAATTCAAACTTTAATCTCAGAAATCTGGCTTTAATCTAAGAATTCTGATTTTTTTTTCCCTCAGAATTCTGACTTTAATCTCAGAATTCTGACTTTTTTCTCAGAATTCTGAGATTAAAGTCAGAATTCTGACTTTTTTCTCGTATTATACTGAAATAAAATTTAAAAATCAGTTAACTTTTTTAAATTTTTTTCAGTGGCCCTAATGTTCTTCCGTACATTCTTGTTCTGCTTTTAAAACTTTTTAGTAGCTGACAAAATGGATTACATTTATGAAAGATATGTCTTTATCCTTGTTGCTACAATCTTATTAACCATAATATATGGACTCTATCTGGAATATTGACTGTCAATGATTTGCTGATAGTGTCTACCAAGTAAGTTTTTTTGCGTTTTCTTTGTTTTATAAGATATATGAAATAATTAAATCCCGATTGCATGTATAGTTTGTTGAGTAAATAATGGATATATTGTATTTTGGCTAAACTATATTAGTAAAAGTATTTTTTTACTTGCCTTGACTTGCCCATGAACTGACATCCCATTCTTCATCCATAGTGCCGAAAAATCGCCAAACTCAGCTTCTGAAAAACAACCCTACAACTTAATCTCCATCTACCAAACAATTAGTAAAATAGACTCAGAAGCACCCTTCTCCTGGCAACCACCTAACCCAGATGTGTTCATCACTTTGCCAGATGGAAAAAACATTTTGCATCATGTGACAATTCGCATTGCATTTGGTGGTATAAGGCTTGGAAGGTGTTGCTATTTAACTCTCACAGTTGTTGAATTAATCCTTATGGACTAGAGGTCTGTAGTGACTCACATCTGGTAGCTGATGGTTGAATATTTAGGATTAAGGACGTTTCATGAATGAATATGTTGCATAGATAGCCTCCAGTCACAGTACCCTTATATATGTTTAATGCTGAAACCAATAAGCCATACAAAATATTTTGAAAAAATTGAAAAAGTTTTAATATTCCACAAATGTTTGACTATGGTTCCCTGTAAACTTATTACATCTTTTGTCTTTTACACTTTGTTCCCTCTGTTTGCATGTCAACTTTATGGTTTGTCCATTTACCTTAACAGGCCAGAGTAACTGGAAGTATGAAACTGTGCTTGCACACAATCAGTAAACAGGAATAATGGAGCCAAGAAACTCCCAGCAGAGGTGTGAAAAGAAGGAACAAGATCCAATATCAAGTGGGGAAAAAAGTACAAAGAATATTGGATACTAAGGCGAATAAGAGACAGGTAGAGCTTGGAATATTGTATTAATGTTGGTGTTGCCTGAAGAAGAGCTTAAGTTTAAGCAGGTACCAGAAGCAGATGGCATCAGCATAAAACAATGTTTATTTTCGCTGATCACGCCCAGTGTAAAAATTATTTTAATGCTGAAAAATCAGGGCAGATGCGATGCTTCCTATTTAATGTTTTATTTGACCATTAACAAGTTTTGTTTTCTGGTGCTTTTATAGGTATAGGATGCGCCTTAGTCCTTTGAACTTTTTTTTTTTTTCCTGAAAAACAACCCCTCCGTAGGCCAGTTTTTAAGTAACCATGGTGAAGTTAACATGGAGAAATTTGGTCACAGATTTTACTCCCAATTAGGATAAATGATGAGTATAAATGAATAATTGGTAAATAATCTAATAAATAAAATCTTCCCTTGTTGCAAAATGTTTTGGCTTTTTCATAGTAAACTTTTTCAAACATTGTAAATGAAATTTGAATCTTAAATCAATGGGTCACTTTTTATTTTATTCAAATAAACAAAACATCAGCTGGAAAAATGGCAGAAAATGATTAACATATTACATACTAAGAAATGTGAATTAATGTAAAGGGAATAGGGGTTTGATAACTTAAGGCTGTGATAGTCTTAAACTACCATACTACAACAAAAAAGTACAGCAGAGTATTGTAATAAAAAAAACATGAAGTATATCTAACTGCTTTTATTTAAAAGGAAAAAAATCAAAATTTTTTGCCTATCCTGCTAAAATAATAAAATACATTGAGCATAATACTTATAAGTTATCACTAACATGTTTATTTTAATATCTGTGTTAATACATTAACAAACCTTTAAAGCTTACTGTGTAGAGAACATATTTCTTCTTTCTCTTCGTGGACTAAAACCCTGATAACAGGCTAAAAATAGCTTGTCATTTATTCTGGCTCTCTGTTTTGTTTGTTTTTTTGTTTTCTTTATTTTTTTTTTAAGTAACGACGAGTTTCTGGACTGTTTTTTTTTATTCAGCAAACCATCAATGCAAAGCAACAGGTGGGGAAGGAGTAGTGATGCTTTATAAAACTCCAGATAACTTTGTCTGGCTTTTTACTGAAAGATCTTTAAAGTAGTTTGAGGATATAAGTTTATCCTTGTTAAGACTATGAATGATAATGAATGACAGTGTTAACATTTTAGAGCATAGTGTAAATTCTCAGATTTAGGTCTCTTCCTTCCCCAAAGTGATTACAAATCTAAAACCCCCTTTAGTGCGGCTGGCATGTGGTACAGACCTTTTCATTCTACACATGAAATACTATGTAATATGAAAACAAATTGAATCTTGCAAGACAAACGGTCTGAAAAAAGCAACAAGACATGAGTTATCATTATTTTCTGCCTCCTCTCCTTTTTCCTCTTCTTCTCTTCCACCAAACCCATGCCCATCCTCACTGAGCCAGGAGTCCCTCTGAAAGATTCATTGTGAAAATGAAATCTTCATCGCTGTTAAACCTAATTGAAGAGGAGACAGAGCTCAACACACACATGTCTGTACACGTCTGTAAGGTTAATTTTACACTTTTACCCAGTCCTGTTTTGACTAAACAAAAGGCAGATATATTTAGGGGTGTAGATGAGAATCATTAGCTGCCAAAGAAAATAATAGAATTTTTTTAGCAGGCATGGCCGGCATGTTCTTGGTGACGGGGAGCTGCAAATGACATTTTGTTTTTTCCTTGTTTGGTGTTCGAGCTGGAAGATTTGTGTTGTTGACACAGTTGGGATTGTTGTTAGGCCCTATTAGATATTGAGCAAGAACATGCATTGTTCAGGAAGTGAAAATTATGGCTGCAAGCTTGCTGATACATGAATACATTTGACTATGATTTACCACACTCCTTATTTTTCTTAGCTTGTAGCGTACTACATTAGTTATATATTTTCACAGTTTCCTTCTCCAGACTCGGTTTGCTTGGAGAAATGTATAAAGATAAAAGTTCCTGATGAAAGTGCAGTCAAATGCCATTTAGAGCAAACTGATTGGACCTCCAGAGTACACAGAAGGATCATCTTACTTTTAAGAATGAGGTTGTTTTTTCCAGGGTTGTGGTCTCCTTCTTTAGCCTCAGAATGAATATCCTCAGAGTAGCAGCTAAAATGCTCTTTTGTTCGCTTGAACTTAGACGTGCTGAGCTTTGCTTTTGTGCTTTCAGTTCAAAGCTCTTCGATAAACACTCAAGTAAAATTGAAACAACCAAAACATCTTTATATATTCTATTTGATCTAAAAATGAATTATTAAAGGGGTCAAATTAGATCCATTCTGTATAACTTTACAAAGAAAAAGCATGAAAATACTGTAGGCCATTTGCTGAGAAACTGCATTCCCAAATCTTTTTATTGGTATTTCGTGGAATATAATGTATTATTCAAGTTAATAGAAAAAGAGTAAATTTCAAACACACAGATAATATCTTGCATATTAATAAATGTATAAATATATATATTTTTTTCATTGTGAGCGGAAAAGAAAGAACAGTACATAAATAAACTAATAATTGATCATGTATTTTGCCAGCTATATTGAATATTTGCAGAATTAATAAAAAAAAATGCTCACAAACATTACAGATTTATAATATAGTACAAAACAGGACCTGTTAGCTTATTGAATAAATAAATATAAGTAAAATGGATGAAAAACATATTATTTCCAATAACTAGAGATGTAAAATTATCATTACAAGATGTCCTGACTTGCGTTACGGAAAATCTGCCACATTGCTTCAATGCATGGTAAAAGTGGTATAGATTTTTCAATTCAATCTAACAATCAGTGGTGGGAAAGACTTTGTGCTAAATTTGACTCCATTAATATCTAGACTCACAAACACCTTCCCCATCTACTGTGCTTATTGCTTGCATATCTTTTTCTATCATGTTTGTAATGTTTTGCTTAATGCCCTCCACTTTTCCATCATTACATCCTCACCTTCCAAGCTTAGCAGAGAAGGTAACACTGATCTGCCATACAGCAGAGCTAAATGGGCTCTATTTTAGTGATAACCCGGGATTTTATGGGGTGTTCATATTTACAAGCAGAACCACATAATGGGTAGTAGTAACAGGTGATGCTCCTTTAGTATGTGTGGATTTCAGATTTTGGAAAAGAAGCACATTTCTCCTTGTTTTATATCAGATTGCAAACAAGTACAGGGTACTTTCAGCCAGCTGTGCACCTGTGTGCAGCATCAGGTGGGAGAGGAAGGAAATCTGATTGATTTCTGTGTAACCTAATTTTAATAAAGATGAATTATTGTTTTTTTTAATCTAGCATTTTGATTCAAGATGTTTCCAATGATTCATTTGTTATTACGATACTCTTCAATGTTTTCGCGTCATCAAACATTTGCTGTAGCGTAAAACGTGTTTGACAAAATGTTATGTATTTACCCCTGTTGTGGCACGTCTGTGTGTTTATTTTGAATTTAAGGAAAGCAAGACCTTTTTAAAGGAGTAGCAAAACCAGTGGTGCCTGTTTTAGGCAGGAAAGAGTGGAGGGGACTAAAAAAAGGAAGTGCAGCGTCAGATATTGTAGGAGAGTGTGATGGTGTGAGGCGGACGAAGGGGGAGTAAGGGCTGGCAGTCTTAAAGCCCAGATCACAAATAATAAAACACAGAGGCAGGGAACGAGGGAGGGAGGAAGCAGAGGGGGAAAAAAGAAAGTATGTAATGTGAAAGGGGAAGGTCAGAAAGAATGTAAGAGAATCATGTGCCAGGAGTGCTACACCTCTCGATCCGCGTTTTTCTTCTCTTTGACATAGCTGTGCTACCAGATTGTGGGTTTTTTTCTGTCCCCCCCCCCTTTTTTTTTCTTTTTGCGCCCCCCACCTTTTCCTCTCTCTCGCTGCGTCTCGCTGTGACTTTCAACAAAAGGCTGACGGAGCGAGCCTGACGTCTGAATGAATAGCCCAAACCTGCTGTAAAGGGAGAAAAAAGGAGGAGAGACGGAGCTGACGGAGAGGAGGCTGAGGAGAAACAGATACAAGTGATCCAGCTGAAAGGGAAAAAGACAAGAGCGCAGACAAGTGCCGATTGCTGGCTGGAGACAAAAAAATCCTTTAATTTCTCTCCTTCTCTCTGGAGATTAAAAGAGTTTAAGGATCCCTTTTGACTGCAAAGCAAGGAGCGGAGACAGTGGCCATCGTCTCTCTTCTGCTGTCCCTCCCCTTCACCCGCTGCCCTCCTGTGCCACCATCCATTTTTCTTTCCCTCAAGAGTACCAGTCATCCGAGAAATGGAACTTCTTGGGGTGAGGTGACGAAGGAGGACAGATTTGGAAACAAGCAGCGGGAGAGCAAGACAGGCACAGGAGGACAGAAGGAGGCTGGAGGAGGAGGAGGCAAAAGAAGCAGAGAGGAGAATAACCCCAGGGCATACTGTGTGAGGGAACACAACGACGCCCAAATCTGCTTTCTGTCCTTCACCTCTAGATTTCCTTCTGCCATGTGCATTACCTGATTTGGAGAATGTGGAGACAGCATTTCCCAGGCAAGAAGCACGGTTCACATCCTGTGGTTGTGTTTTTGTTCGTGTGTGTGTTGGGGTGTGTGCGTGTGTGTGTTGCTCTACCCATTATGGGTAATAATATAACTCTGTAGTGTCTGCAGGGAGAAGGGAGTTGGCTTTAAAATGAGAGGGCTTCTTATATTTTAGAAATTATGTTGGTGTTCATTTTAGATCAGGACATTTGCAGTTTTGCACAGTAGTGCAAGGAGAGTAAGTTTAGGGTCAGAGGTCAGATATGATTGGGTATAACTGATTAGATTTTTTTTTTTATATAAATTCTGCCCGTCTTCCATGATTTATGCAAAAATGTAAATGACAAATGACATTTTCAGAAAAGTAAATTTAGAATTACTTTATTTATTCCCTCATTATCAGTGCTGCAAAAAAATGGACAAATCTCACTTCAGGTAAAAGAAAGATTGAAGCTAAAGCTGTGATTCCCAACCTGGGGGTCTGTTTCCATAGGGGATGGAAGCCAAATGAGATTGTACATTTTGCACTTTGACCTTTTTATTAACACTAAACAGTGTAAAAAAGTTTGGATTAAAATTTTAACCCCGCTTTTTTACAGTTGAGTAGAAAATTATTAAACATTGGAAAGAAATCAGAGTTGGAAACAAATGAGTTGTAGCTAGTTTTTAAGCATTAGACAAAACTGATAAACATGTTTTTTGTCATTTTGCTTCAAATCAAATTTCAAATCTCAAATAATTCCCTAATATTGCACTTAGCTGGTTGTGATATTTCGCTAGCTTTTATGCTTATATTAGCATATTACAATAGAAGCTAGACTTTGCATATTAAATAAAAATCTTAATTTAAAATAATATTAAATTATCTTTAAAAATATAAAAAAATCTGTTACTTTTTGAAGCAGTCCATCTTAAATTTAAAATGTAAAGTTTCATGCTGATCTAAGTGAAAATAGTTTCTTTAATGAGCTCACATGGTTTTAATGTTCCCCTAATAATTTCTATTGTGAAAACTAGTTGAAAAAAGTTATTTAAACAATATAAAAGTGGTAAAATTGCAGAAGCAATAGCCCCCATACCCTGAGATAACGCCACACTTTGATAGCTGAATTGTTTAAAAAGTTTAATCACTGCAGAAGTGGTTAAAGGCTAAAGGATATACTTAAACAGCATTTGTATCAAGAACATTTAAGATGTATAAATTCATTATAGAGTCCTCTCATTAAGTAGAATTACATTTGAATTACTCTTTTAAGTGCATTTATGAATAAAACGGCATTAATTGCAGCTCTGAAACCAGGAGGTATATGCAGCATCCTGATTCACACATAAAGTCTAAACTACCCATCAGAGAATCAGCCCAGTACAGCAGATACATTCTGGCATCTGATCCTGAGACAGAGGTTTCAACCGTTCTGTCGGCTCTTCATAAAAATGAAAAATCTATATTGCTTTTAAGATAAATATAATACATAAATGAGCTCCTCTTATTTAATAAAGGAATAGACACCTATGAGGGAAATAAACCATTGAGTGAATGCTCATTTATACAAGTGTGCATAAGTTTGGAGGCATGGCAGCTGGGATGTATTCTTGGGGAGGAGAAGTACATGTCTGTGACCACTGGACTGCAGTTTGGGCACTATAAATCATGCAGAATGTATTTTTTTATTTAAATTTTTAAGTACAGATGAAGTTCATAGTACCGACAGCGGCTTCTTTCCCAAATCCTTGCTGTATTGCTTTTAAAGGGAATCGATGTCTCCCTCAGTTTGGACTGACTCCATCTGTGATTGTGATATCCTTGCATCAGCATATGCCCCCCCGCCCCCTTCCTTCCTTTTACTCTCCTCTACTTTTACATGTGATCCCACCCTGCCCTTCTCTCCCTTTCGCTTTCTCACCCTTCCATTGGAGCATTTGGATGGCGATAACTTTAAAAGGGGGTGGGTAGACAGAGGGGAAGGACAAACAATGTCTTTGTGTGTCCACATAAGTGGAACAAGAGACCGGCTGGGGTTGGCGGCAAAGTAGCTGGGCCCTGAAAGGGTCCGCCTGTGGGCCAGTAGAGGCAACTCTGCCAAAGAAAAGATTACACCTCCCTTCTTTTTCTACTGCCTCAGGGATCGTAAACACACACAAAAATGCAGGGCCCTGATTTTTATTAACGTGCATGGACAGTTGGAGTGCGTAACCATGCTGTTTTCTGCCACTCGTTGTGTGAAAGTGGACGGACCAGAAAAGCAGGAGAAAATGACAAAGGGGGAGTAAAAGGTTTAGATGAGAGAATGATATGGCCTTGTAGGGGTGAAACAATAAAGAATGTAGAAGAGGGACACTGTTAAAACCACAAAGACTTCATTGTAGAATATTTGCAATATATTACTTGCTTTACTTTTAGAAACAAATCACCTATTTAGCAACATGATAAACTTATACCTTGAGGTCTTATACTTAGAAACAAAAGGCACAAAATTAAATTCAGATTCATATGAGACTATTCAACTTAAATTGTGAAAGACAAGGTTCTAGCAGGGCAAACATTATTAATATATATGTCCACAGATGTATTTGCTTGTATTTACAGCAGCCTGAACTGTGCCACAATTTGGGCACAGTTCACTCACCAAGATTTTACCTTTAAGGATAAAAGTTGCAGTCCCACGGCTTCTCTGTTTCCATATTATGTGTGCTCAGTAATAAAATCTTTCATAATGAGTCCAGGTAGTGCTGCCCTCAGCTTATTCTCACCCCGTAAAAACAACATCATTGTAAAATTCAGTTTCCAAGGAAAAAGATGTAATGCCACCTAAGAGGGTGTTCATTTAAACAGGTTTCTTCTTGGTGTAGCAATATTCTCACATTGATTACAAATCAATAATGCATTTTCCTTCACTCTGTCACAGATATTTTATTTTTAGTACCTAAGATGCATCCATATCAATAATTATAGTGTTGAGGGCTTCATTCTTCTTGTTGGCCAGAAATGTCTTTGCTACAACAATGAACTCCAGGATATTTTTTCTACTTAAAAACAAGGGTGTAATTAAATACGATAGAAGATATAAGGTTTAAAACTCTCCCCTTCAGATTTACATTTACTGGCCTACATTTCACCTGGCAAAGTTAAGGGCTCTCATCTTGAAGCTAATTTACTTTAAAAGAAACAATGCTGCTATAATCTTTCACCTATACACCTACCTCTTCTGACGCGTATTGTTATCGATATGTGTGAAAACCTAACTAAATTCAGGGCTTAGTCTTGTATTTGTTGGCTTCGCCACACCTCAGGGCCTGCACTGCATTTGAGTGCAGAAATTGGGTGGCCTGCAGGGACAGGGTTTGATATAATTACGATCAAGCTTGTGCTTTTCTTCCTGCTACATTTGCAACAAAGAAAACCCTCTGTGAGGTCAGTACTCCCCTCCCTCATTTCACTCATCTCTAAGGCCCTCCAGCTTGGGAGTTACTAGGTAACCAGAACCAGCTGTTGGTCCTAAGCCCACTAAGACCGTTTTTGTCCAGCATCACTTGCCAAGTGTTTCGTTTGTTTTATTTTTCAAGCTTACTGTGAACTCAGTCCCTGCTGTGTGCCTGACATCATCATGCCATGGAAAATATTCCTTACTTCCTTTTGTTTTTGCAGTTTTATTGTTCCACTAATACAACAACTGATGTGCATGACACAGGTCTGAGCCGTTTATATGGCTGTTAGGGACAGACGTGGGAAAGAGATCCATGAGTTAGTGGGTGTTGAGTGTTTGACCAAAGAGGCCCCCTGTAATTTAAAAATGACGTAAAAGAGGGTCTGAGTGTTTGACTCCTCTGCAGGTGAAGAGAATAAACTGTTTCAAAAGGCTGTTAACAGAGATCTGAGACGGTAAGCACACACAGTGAAAATATTCATACAATTATAATAGGGAAGGAAAGTTGATACAGTTCTGCGGTCCCTAAGTGAAACATTTACATTTCAAAGTGTGTGACAACCTCACAAAAAAACAAGCCACAAGTAAATCTGAGGGGAGCGCATTAACTTCTTAATAAAATTGTCTTTGTAAACCTGTCAAAGCGTGTCGAAGATCCGTGAAACCGCAAATCCAGGCCACTCGGTTATTATTTTTTATCTGAAAACAGAGCCAGAGAGAGAGAAAAAGATTATTAATGTAGTTTGATGTTTTTGAGTTCCATTTTAAAGATTGGTTTCCAAGTACTCTAAAAAAGGGACAGGTTGGAATGAGGTTTTATTTTCTTTTCTCATTTTTCTCTCTGTTTTGGGAAATGATTCCTCTCACTCTGACTGAAATCACTGACTCACAGCGTTTGGAGCTGAGCAAATTTTCCTACATCAGCAGGGCCAAATGAGAGAATTAGACATTAAATCACATTCACAAAAGAGTGACGCGTTTCCTGAGTTTTCCTCTCTCCTTTTCTTTAAGTTTAAAACATCAATTTGTGCTGTCGAGGTCCAAAAAGGCTTTTTACTTCAGAGCATCTGTAATCCATTTGTGGTTGACTGTTGTCAGTTCTGCCAAAAGGTTTTCATACTTCCTGATAAATGGTGCAGTTTGTGATTAGTGTTGGCTCAGGATAATATCTCCTTTAGTCCAACAAAGCTTTTCTTGAGGGATGTAGGGACATGTGACCTTCACTGGATTGGACTATCTGCTGTTACAATTAGATTTGCTTACTGGGTCTGTTGCAGTTTTTGTTGGTTTCTTTTTTCTAAGAGACAATGATGGCTGTGGAGCTGTAATAAATACTTTAATTACAATAATAGGACACTGGCACAACTGCATTCTAATCCTTAAGACGAGCAGCCAGAATATATTCCCGCCCCAATAAAAACCATCTTCAGTTGCTGTAGCTTTTTCTTGAATAAGTACTGAGTAATAACTCTGGTACTTTATTCTCTGCTTGAGGCAGAGCCTGATTTAGCTTAGATTTTTATTCTTGGGCAGCAGCAGTTCTACTTTCTACAAGGTCTTGCTGCTTTGTTCCTTATAAATTCAA